CTTCAAGTAACTGGCTTGAAGCCCTATGTTCCACTGGGGAACGTGAAGGAAGAAAAACATTAATATATATTTTATATATATATATATATATTATTTTTAAGAATCATTTTGAGCCATATCACCAACAGTATCCAGTCATTAGTTCTTAGCATCAACAAGACCCGAAATAAAGTCTACACTTTCCTTCTACGTGACTGGCTTAAATCGCCAGTCAAAGACTTTATGAACTGATATCGTGTTTTCATTTGATTTTCGAATGTAATCCTACGAAAAACTAAAATTGTTCGATGGGGGACAGGCAATGACTTCGTATGCATAACATGTATTCTAGCCATATTAATAAATATGGCTTCACTAACTCACCGATTGATATGCCCTCCATATTAAACCCTATGCCTAACCTCAATACTATTTACTTTGTTATATCACCACCTGATGAGTTAAATGCAAAAGTGGAGTTCGTAAATTTCATCGTTCAGATGCGGGAATTACTTTTAACTGACTGACTAGTTTCAACGTGAAACTTTGCACCGATGTGCAGCAGTTTAAGTCGCCACACTCCATGTAGCACAAAAAACAACAGGAGTTAAAGAAAAAAGAAATGCAAAACATAGACAGTAAAAAGAGATATGAAGCAAAATGAAAAGCAATATGCAAGAACCAGATAGTTTAATTGGATATTATACGTCACAAGGAGTAGCTGCATTTGTGCCACCATTGAGAAAGACTTTGAGCCATATCACTAATTTTCTCCAGCCTTCATTGGTTCTTATCATCCCAAAGAACCCCAACCAGGAAGTCTACACCTCACTACGTGACTGGCTTAAACTAACTTGTGGATTTCACTGACTCATTAAGCCATGTTTCCGTTTGACCACCACTGACTAACAGATTACTGTCTGCATTAACTGAGGTACTAGGCAGCGTCTGGGAATCAGAAGAAGTTCCATCGGGTTGGTGTAAGTCACTGATTATCCCCATATACAAGAAGGGAGACAAGTCTTCCTGTGATAATCACAGAAGGATCAGCTTGACTAATATAGTATCTAAAGTCTTAGGCTCAATAATCATGCGTAGACTAAGTGGTGCTCGGGAGACACAAACACGAGAGAGCCAGGCAGGCTTTAGACCAGGAAGAGGGTGCATTGATCATATCTTCACCCTCCGACAGATTCTAGAACATAGGCATTGCTACCGGCGTCCAACAGTCATTATATTTCTTGACCTAAAGGCAGCCTTCGACTCCGTCGATCGAGAAGTTCTCTGGAGATGCTTGGCTGTAAAGGGAATCCCGAGAAAATATATTGCACTGATTAAGGCACTCTACTCGTACTCATACAGCCAGGTGAGGGCTTACGGTGAGCTGTTATCCGAACTGGTGACGACCAGTGGTGTCCGTCAAGGATGCCCATTATCCCCTTTTCTATTCAACTTCATCATAGATGCGTTAATGGACTTAACCCTAGGTGACTTCAGCAACTCAGGGATTGACTTGCTACCAGGGAATAACCTCGTTGACTTGGAATATGCAGACGATATAGTCCTTCTAGGCGAAGACACTGACAAAATGCAGAGTCTTCTAAACACCTTGGACAGCAATCTACGAATGTTTGGCATGCGATTCGCTCCCGCCAAATGCAAGATGATGTTACAGGACTGGACTACATCGACGCCTAGTTTAAAAATAGGAAGTGAAGTGGTAGAGCACGTTAACCGCTTCACTTATTTGGGAAGTACCATCAGCCAATGCCAACGGGCTGATCTCTGACGAAATCTCAGCACGAATACAAGGGGCTCGTTTCGCATTTGTTAGTTTACGCCGTCTCTGGCGTAGACGAGATGTTCGACTATCGACCAAAGGGCGGGTGTACTGCTCATCAGTCCGCTCCGTCCTCCTTTATGGTTGTGAGACCTGGCCACTGAGAGTGGAAGACATGAAAAGACTAGCTGTCTTTGATCATAGATGCCTGCGCTCTATTTCCCGTGTAAAGTGGCATAATAAGGTGAGCAACATTGAAGTTAGGCGCCGAGTGCTAGGTAAACAGGGGAAATCAATCGACGAAGTCGTGAAGTTACAAAGCCTGAGATGGTTAGGACACGTGTTACGTATGCCAAGCCATCGCCTCCCTCGACGAGCAATGTTACCTCCAAAGCCTCAGGATGGTCGGGGGTGGGTGCCTTGCGCTGCGGGTTGGCCACCCCTCCGCACACCTCTTGAAATGCTCCCATATGACCGGGCGTCTTACATAGCCTCTCCTGAGGAAGTCCTACTCACTGCCTTCACGTGGCGGAGGTGTTTCTCACCAAAGTGAGAGGGCGAAAGCGGATGCCCGGCGCTCTCCACCGGGTTGACTGTCCATTGGATGACAGTCTAGGGGAGATGGCTAAACCCTGATTCCAAACCTCCAACGATTGGCGTATGAAGCTCACTGGAGCTCACCGGCAGACGTATGGACAAAGGGCCTGTTGGTTTTTCTGGATGTCTGGCCCCATTCAAAAAGGCGTATGAACCGAACTCCGGTCATCGGCTGCCAATGGATAGTGGACTCCTTACTCCACTCCTACTGCCTTGTAGGTCACACTTGGTTGTGTAAAGGCTAGAGCTGCACTCTCAAACAAAAGGCCGAGCGATGCTGGGGACATCACTCGTACCAAATTCCCATGAAACTTCATGAACTCTCTTACAAAATGCCGCGCCTGGGCAGCGATGATTCGAGACGTTCATGAAGCCGGCTCATCCTCCCGTAGGAGATAGCCGAAGTAAAGTAAGTAAAGTAATGTTAGCGGATATAGGGTCAGGCTGGAAAAAAGCTAGCGGCGGTCAAACAAAAACTTGGCATCAGTCAATGAAATCCACAACAGTTGGTCTAAGCCACGTAGGAAGGTGTAGACTTCCAGGCTGGGGTCCTCGAGACGGTAAAAATCTATGGTTGGAAACAATTGGTGACATGGCTCAAAATCGTTCTCAGTGGCGCAGATGCATCCACTCCTTGTAACTTATGCTCTCCAATGAAACTGTTTTGTTTTTCTTTACTACTCCTTTGTCTCACACCTCTGCTTACTGTCTCTATTATGCTTTTCTTGTACTTTCTTCTCTTGCTTTGCGTGCTACACGGAGTGTCGCGACTTGAACTTCCGCACATTTGTGCAAAGTTCTATGTCGAAAACAGACAGACAGACAGACTAATTTATTTCCAATCTGATCGTATGTCAGCGAACATTGTCCGTCGAGGAAGGCGATAGCTGGACAGGTATGCGTAACACATGTCCTGACCATCCCCCCACCTACCTAGCACCCGACCGATACCTAAACTCAATATCACTCAATATATTATATCCCTTCACGCGGGATATAGGACGCAGACACCTATGATCAAAGACAGCTAACCTGCCTTTTCATGTCTTCTACTTTCAATGGCCAGGTCTCACAGCCATAAACGAGGACGGAAAGGAATCCTGAGAAGTACACACACCCTTTGGTCGATAGCCAGCCGGATATCACGTATACGTCTCCTCTTAGCCGCCAATGAACACTGAACCACTGGAGAGAGCCCGGTACCAAAACAACGAATGATTTCAAGAGATAAAATCTAATTGAATCAACCAATAAGTTGTGAAGACATGTCACTTATTCACTGTGATAAAAGAATAAGGACAGTTGTTTTAAAACATGAAGTTTATACAACTAGATTAACAGTATTTTTAAACGAAAGTCAATTCTAAAAATCAACTAGCCGGAAGTACAATAACCGAAGGTACTGAGAAAGGATAATCGAAAATTCTGAGGAACTTGAAAGATGAGTTCATAATTGCTCTCAGTAAGTCTGAATATCTTTAGCTTGTTGCAACCCTTCTTTCAAAGGTACGTAAGAAGAGGGTTTCTTTGGGCCGTATACTAAATAACGTGAATTCACCTAACCACTTAGTGACAAATCGACTGGCCGAACTTCTTGAACTAATGAGAACAAATTTTCGTGAATACAATTTTTTCGACACTTTCAATATCAGGATACCAATAAACTACTTAAAATGAGCTGATAAGAAGATATATGTTTTATGTGTAATTTAGATTTATAACCAAAGGGAAAGAATTGCCATGGTGTCTATTTTGTAGTCTCTTCGAGCTGATTTCTTGACAACGAGCCTAGAGAAAATACTTGACTTAAACAGGTGATAATTCTGTTGTAGTTTGTGATGAAAACCATTCGACTGTTGAAGTGGTTGGAACATCCGTCTGTGGTCACCTCTATCTATATGTGTTACGGTTGAGAGAAAGAGTAAAATTCTACATTCCAAATCTTGTAAGTTATGCTAAACAAAACCAGATAGATGACAATTAATGGAAAAGGTAGATCTTGAATGAGTTCTGTTCTCTGAGCTGGTTGATTTAATTGCCGAGCTCTTGTTGTCCTACTAGCAAAACATTTCAATGTAGATTTTAGTATGAAATGACCTCATTTGAAGTATCCATGAATGGTGATATATCAATATTGTGATTGGTTGTTAATTTACGTTTCTATTGACCATATTTTTATTGACTTGAAATTTAAACTTACCTGTCATGTGATTTACTTTTTGTTAGTTGGTAAATTTGGTCTATACTAATGTGTTTGTTAAATGCTAATTCACTTGAGTACCAACCAGGCTTCCACGAATGACCTGGCATTATTGGTGTTGTTGTGATCTTTTCTTATAATACGTATCTAGTCATATTCATATCTCTACCGCTATTAACACTCTTTTTTTCCTTTATATGTTTAAGTCATTCCGGCTTCATTGTAAAATGAATAAAGCCTAAATTCTTGGTTCATTCGTCTTTTCAAGATTCAAGCATCACTCATCGTTCTAAGACTCAATCACCGTAACAGGTGTTTCCTCTATATTATCTCAGTCAGATTGGCGTCCGTAATTATCTATATCCAGTGATATGAGAGAACATGTGTCATGCCTTTTTACAGTCAATTTGTGTTCTTCAACTCGGATTTAAAGGGGACGCCTACTTTGACTGATATCATGTTTTATTGCAGTCCACACAATTTATTTTGTAAATGGCACTAATTTTATTTTCTTCTTTTTCTGTTGGATCTTTCGGTTTGCACAGTATCGAATGAAGTGATTGTTCTGACTGACTGACTGGCATGTGCGCTATATCTATTTCATTAAAACACAAAATAATCGAGCAAAGATTATTCTTTTCGATAAATTCCTCTTCTGGCTCTACAATTATATGTATATGTTTATATACACAAAATATTCAAGATTGGTAGTTAATAACAATTTTAGTGTTTTTTAAATAATAATATCGATTTGTTAAGTTATGGCTCACCTAAAGTGCACAAAGATGGTGTACCGCTTCGACCAGTATTAGGTATGTTAAATTCGCCATACCATCCTGTAACCAAATGGCTAGTTGAAATCTTTCATCCGCTTCATACCGAGTTGCTGAAGCACAGTGTAAAGGAGACTTTCGGATTTGTGGAAAGGATAAAAGATTTAAATGTTGACAATAAATTCATGATATCATTTGACGTATCTTCCTTATTCACCAATGTACCACTTATGGAAACTGTGGAGTTTGTATGCGAAGAACTCAAAAGACGAAACATCGATGTTGGCACTCCTATATCTTTTATGAAAGAGCTTCTCTTGAAATGTACAATGAATGTCCACTTTTTATTTAATAAGGAACTATATAGACAATTCGACGATGTGGCAATGGGGTCACCACTAGGACCCATTCTAGCCGACATTTTCCTTGCGAAACTAGAAAATGGGCCTTTGAAGGATGCTATTAATGAACTCGAATTTTATTGTCTGTACATGGATGATACCTATTTGGTTATAAAAAACGAGAAGGAAGCAAAGAGCATCCTGGATAAATTTAATGAGGTACATCCTGCAATAAATTTTACTAGTGAGACAAAAAGACTCTAGTATTCCATTTTTAGACGTCTTTATGACCAGAAAAGAGGATGGCACAATAAGAAGTGTTTATAAAAAACGTACATCAACGGGCCAGTACACACATTTTCTCAGTTTTGTGCCCTTGAAATACAAACGCAATTTGATAAAGTGCTTGGTTCACAGAGCAAGAGCGATTTGTTCGGACGAAGGTCTTGGTGAAGAACTGAATAATATTAAACGGTTGCTAAGTGAGAATGGTTATCCTGAAAAGTTTATTCATAAGAATATGAATTTGAAACACAAGCAACCCAAGTTACCAACAGTTCCAAAAAGGCCTTATTCTTACAGATGGAGTTCCTTGGGGACAACACTAGCGAGATACTAACACGCATTACAAATGTGGTAAAACGAGCATTCCCTGCTGCTGAATTACGTTGTATGTTTAAGACCACTCCTTTCCTGCGTCCGGGAATGAAAGACAAACTGCCTAATTTCGCCTCATCCATGTATATCTACCAATTTAACTGCTCCTGTGGAGCCAGTTACATAGGCCATACAAATAGGCGTGTTTCTCGTCGAATTTCCTAACATCACCCTGCGTGGTTAAACAAAGGCCAAACAAAATCCATTCGTAGCGCTATTCTGTCTGATCTTGTGGAGACAGAACACAAGATTGACGTCAACAATGCTTTCAGGGTCAGTTTCCACATACCTACGAATCTCAATTTTGCCTTAAGATTTCGACTACTAAATATTGCTGAGGCTGTGGGGATCCACATTAACAAGCCTAATTTATGCATCCAAAAGAAGTTAGTTCAGACATTATCCTTACCACGTTGGCCATCTAGGTTCGAATAATCCTCAATTTGCTGAGGAATTTCTTTAATTTTAGTTGATATTCTATTCGCTATTATATCTTTATTACTATTATAATTTAAGCATCTTTAATGAACTCTGGTGATTCCATTGTAATCTTACTTAACAAATCGATATTATTATTTAAAAAACACTAAAATTGTTATTAACTACCAATCTTGAATATTTTGTGTATATAAACATATACATATAATTGTAGAGCCAGAAGAGGAATTTATCGAAAAGAATATTCTTTGCTCGATTATTTTGTGTTTCAATGAAATAGATATAGCGCACATGCCAGTCAGTCAGTCAGAACAATCACTTCATTCGATACTGTGCAAACCGAAAGATCCAACAGAAAAAGAAGAAAATAAAATTAGTGCCATTTACAAAATAAATTGTGTGGACTGCAATAAAACATGATATCAGTCAAAGTAGGCGTCCCCTTTAAATCCGAGTTGAAGAACACAAATTGCCTGTAAAAAGGCATGACACATGTTCTCTCATATCACTGCATGTAGATAATTACGGACGCCAATCTGACTGAGATAATATAGAGGAAACACCTGTTACGGTGATTGAGTCTTAGAACGATGAGTGATGCTTGAATCTTGAAAAGACGAATGAACCAAGAATTTAGGCTTGATTCATTTTACAATGAAGCCGGAATGACTTAAACATATAAAGGAAAAAAAGAGTGTTAATAGCGGTAGAGATATGAATATGACTAGATACGTATTATAAGAAAAGATCACAACAACACCAATAATGCCAGGTCATTCGTGGAAGCCTGGTTGGTACTCAAGTGAATTAGCATTTAACAAACACATTAGTATAGACCAAATTTATCAGCTAACAAAAAGTAAATCACATGACAGGTAAGTTTAAATTTCAAGTCAATAAAAATATGGTCAATAGAAACGTAAATTAACAACCAATCACAATATTGATATATCACCATTCATGGATACTTCAAATGAGGTCATTTCATACTAAAATCTACATTGAAATGTTTTGCTAGTAGGACAACAAGAGCTCGGCAATTAAATCAACCAGCTCAGAGAACAGAACTCATTCAAGATCTACCTTTTCCATTAATTGTCATCTATCTGGTTTTGTTTAGCATAACTTACAAGATTTGGAATGTAGAATTTTACTCTTTCTCTCAACCGTAACACATATAGATAGAGGTGACCACAGACGGATGTTCCAACCACTTCAACAGTCGAATGGTTTTCATCACAAACTACAACAGAATTATCACCTGTTTAAGTCAAGTATTTTCTCTAGGCTCGTTGTCAAGAAATCAGCTCGAAGAGACTACAAAATAGACACCATGGCAATTCTTTCCCTTTGGTTATAAATCTAAATTACACATAAAACATATATCTTCTTATCAGCTCATTTTAAGTAGTTTATTGGTATCCTGATATTGAAAGTGTCGAAAAAATTGTATTCACGAAAATTTGTTCTCATTAGTTCAAGAAGTTCGGCCAGTCGATTTGTCACTAAGTGGTTAGGTGAATTCACGTTATTTAGTATACGGCCCAAAGAAACCCTCTTCTTACGTACCTTTGAAAGAAGGGTTGCAACAAGCTAAAGATATTCAGACTTACTGAGAGCAATTATGAACTCATCTTTCAAGTTCCTCAGAATTTTCGATTATCCTTTTTCAGTACCTTCGGTTATTGTACTTCCGGCTAGTTGATTTTTAGAATTGACTTTCGTTTAAAAATACTGTTAATCTAGTTGTATAAACTTCATGTTTTAAAACAACTGTCCTTATTCTTTTATCACAGTGAATAAGTGACATGTCTTCACAACTTATTGGTTGATTCAATTAGATTTTATCTCTTGAAATCATTCGTTGTTTTGGTACCGGGCTCTCTCCAGTGGTTCAGTGTTCATTGGCGGCTAAGAGGAGACGTATACGTGATATCCGGCTGGCTATCGACCAAAGGGTGTGTGTACTTCTCAGGATTCCTTTCCGTCCTCGTTTATGGCTGTGAGACCTGGCCATTGAAAGTAGAAGACATGAAAAGGCAGGTTAGCTGTCTTTGATCATAGGTGTCTGCGTCCTATATCCCGTGTGAAGTTTTTATAGTATGGTAAGCAATATTGACGTTAGGCATGGGTTGAGGGGAGGGGAAATCAATAGACGATTGAGATGGCTAGGACATGTGTTAGGTATGCATACCTAGCCATCACAATCCTCGACGGGCAATATAAACTAGCTGATATAGGATCATGATGGAAAACAGCCAGTGGTGGTCAAACGAAAACATAGCTTCGTCAGTCAGTGGAATCCACAACAGTTATTTTAAGCCACGTGGGAAGGTGTAGACTTCCTGGTTGGGGTCTTTGGGATATTAAGAACCAATGAAGGCTGGAGAAAGTTGGTGATATGGCTCAAAATGATTCTCAAAAATAATATATATATATATATATATATATTAATATAAATGAGGAAAAATTGACGATTAGACATGTGAATAAAATCAATATAAGATAAAATACATTCAGAAATAATAGTATCAGTGTTATCAATGAAATACAATCAGATAGGAAATAGGATGTTTTTATAGTTAAATGAGTAAATAATGTTAAAATGTATTCAATTCACATACATTATAACGTTCTAACAAGTTATTTATTTATTTCACCATAAAAACATCTTATTTCCCATCTGATTGTATTTTATTGATAAAACTAATATTATTATTTCCGAATGTACTTAGCTCCGCAATTAAATCAATCAGCTCAGGGAACTTAACTAATTGTAAATCATCCACCTGAGCTAGGAATCTCCATAACTTCGGGGATGTATATCTATGAATAATCGAAACCTACAGGATGAGCCCTTTAACGTAGAAATTTACACAAAAGTCCAGCAGCTCAAAATGCTACACTCCATGTACCTTCCAAAGGCAGACAAACGAGAGGAAAGAGATTACAAAGAACCATAATAAGTAGAAATGTGGGAGAAAAAATAAGTAGTAACTTGGATAAACATGATGGTTGGACGGATATGGGAGATATGGCAGGAATTAATTACGGAAGAGGTTGGATGGGGTGAAAACATTTGAATGAGTATTCTGTAAATTTAGAGAAGTTTTATTTGCTGCTACTCAATGAAACCTCGAAGGGGTGAAACTATCACTATCACTTTTCAAGTGGCATCAGTAACAAATGATTGCAAGTACTAAATGTCTCTACAGCCTTTTGTCGGTTTATTCTAACTTTCCAGTATGAGTCCTAGATTAACTGTCTACCGGAAGAAACAAAGTGCAAACTTAAATCAATGAAAATGTTCAGTACTGAAGGCTAGTAAGCACAGTGCTGTTCACTATTGAGTGAAAATTAAATAAGGTTTAGTAAAGTTAAATTTTTGATGGATCTTACAGCACCCGATTTCATCTGTTGTTCGCTGATAATAGCCTAAGGTTAATGTTAAA